GCCGCGACTGCACTGAACCGCGCAAAGAGCGCTCCGACACCAGGAGTTGCTTCAACTGCGGATCGGCTGACCATATGAGCCGCGAGTGCTCGGAGCCGAAGAAGGCGCGCAATATTACGTGTTATAACTGTCAGGAAGAGGGACACGGAAGCAGAGACTGTACGAACCCGAAGAAGGAGCGCGAAGGAGGGCCCCGACGGACCAACAATAACAGCTCTGCCGCCGATGACTGGGGATCGGGTGGCGCGACGACCACCGCTAGCAATGGCGGCGGCGCTGCCGATGACTTCGATTGGGGAACTGGCGGTGATTCGAGTGCCAACGCGAACGGTATGTCATTGTAAACAAGTGTTGAGTCGTTTACTGATTGATTTCATCGATGGACAGGCGGTCGCAGTGGTGGCGGTGGAGGCAATGAGTGTCGGCGCTGTCACACAGAGGGCCACTTCGCCAAAGACTGTCCCAAGAATTCAGGCGCCGGTCCTAATGAGTGCAGGCGTTGCAAGAAAGAGGGCCACAAAGCGGCCGATTGTACTGAAGAGGTGTTGGGAGAGGACGGCAAACCCCTTCCCCCACCCTATAGGCCGACACTCGTGGACGAGAACTCGGATGGTCTGTACGACACGACCCCCACTGGCATTAACTTCAGCCGATACGATAAGATCAATGTGAATGTGTCGGGCAAACTGGCGCCGCCGCCCATCAACGCCTTCTCGGATGTGGTGAAGAGCACTCTCATGACGGAAGCCATCGAGAAGTGCAAGTATACCAAACCAACGCCTGTCCAGAAGTACGCCATTCCTATAATCGCTGCAAAGCGTGATCTCATGGCCTGCGCGCAGACCGGCTCTGGAAAGACTGCGGCCTTTATTTTGCCAATCCTTCAGAATCTGCTCTCAATGGAAGAGCTGCCGTCACTCTATGGACAGGCAGTCCAGGAGCCCCTTTGCGTCATAATCTCTCCCACTCGGGAACTGGCCATCCAAATACATACCGAAGCCGTCAAGTTTGCAAAGGGAAGTATCGTTAAGCCGTGTCTCATATATGGCGGCACTTCCTCTGGATATCAATTGGCGAACATCTCGCGCGGCGCTCACCTACTGGTGGCCACTCCGGGCCGTCTGTTGGACTTTGTGTCGAAGGGAAAGGTCTCCTTCGCTAACCTAAAGTACCTGGTCTTAGACGAAGCCGACCGTATGATAGATCAGGGCTTCCTTCCAGAGGTGCGCCGAATGGTGACACACGAGACAATGCCCGACAAGACTAACCGCCAGACTCTCATGTTTTCGGCCACTTTTCCCGACGAAGTGCAGCGTTTGGCTCAAGAGTTTCTGAACGAGAACTATTTGTTCCTAACCGTCGGTATCATCGGTTCGGCCAACTCTGATGTCGAACAGACTTTCATCGAAGTCGACGGAAAGCAGAAGCGATCGAAACTGATGGACGTCTTGCGCGGCTGTGATTCCAATGACAGGACTTTGATTTTCGTCGAGAAGAAGAAGACGGCGGACTTCATTGCTTCATATCTATCGCAGAATCAACTGATGACTACTTCCATACACGGCGACCGCTTCCAGAGTCAACGCGAACAGGCGTTGTATGACTTCAGATCGGGACGAATGCCAGTACTGGTGGCCACTTCTGTGGCGGCGCGCGGTCTCGACATCAAAGATGTGAAGCATGTAATCAATTATGATTTGCCAAAAGAAATCGATGAATATGTGCACCGAATCGGGCGCACCGGTCGTGTGGGTAACGTAGGAAAGGCCACCTCCTTCTTCGACCCCACCAGTGATACGGACGTCACTCTAACCGCTAGTCTCATAAAGATCTTGGAGGGCGCCGACCAAGTGGTGCCCGACTTTCTACGCGACTCCTCCTCAGGAGTCCGCAACTCAATGAATGGCGACGACTTTGGGGCCACTGATTGTCGTGGAGTATGAATGAGTCCTTAGTTTTTATATTTGATAAGCAATTAACAAAAACTGTTTATTTCATAGGAAACCACCACAAAGGCCGCCGCTGACGACGACTGGGACTAACAGATCCATCACTTCTCCATTATTACTGATCTTTTGCCCCTATTTTTCAGTTTAAAATCAAAATGTTTTCTGTATCTCATTATTACTCCAAATGTTATTACAATATTGTTATCACTTGTATTACAGAATTATTACTTTTTTAAAAAGTTATCTTTAATTCATTGTTTGTTTGCAAAAATATATAAAACAAATGTTATAAATATTTACGTTGATTTGATATAAGATATTACAGTATAACCCAAAAATAAGATCTAATCATTATTTGCAGCGTTTAAATAAATACTTAATTTGTTGTGATTTCAATACGCTGTTTTCGTCGCAAAATGTAACCCTTTTTTAAAATGAAAAATTGATTTTTATTAATGTTTTGATTAAAAAGTTTTTATATGACTTGTATTGAGTTTTACTTACTTATTGCCACTCTCGAGATTAGTGACAGTGATTTGGATCAAATAGATTTGGTTGGAATCGTTGGAGTCACTTAATCTCCATCTCAACGGATTCATCACTAAAGCCGGACTCGACTTAAGCTGCAGTTCCACTCGTACTACAGTTCCGATGTTCGCAGAGCTTATGACAAAATCAATGTTTTCGCTGAACTGTGTTCTAACAGAATATAACAGAATATTAGATGAGAATAAAGAATGCATACAATTATTAGAGGACTAACTCTTTGGTCACATCGAGTGCTGGAGTGAATCCTTTAGTTCCGAAGACTTGTACGAAGAGACGGGTCTTTTCAGGCAATGAAGAGCTGCCACTTATATCATACCTCAACAGTACTTGAATGCGATAATGAAAGAGACAGTAAGGACTGCGATCAGCCGTCCACAGGAAGTACTTATTCTCCTTTGAAGTCTCACTCTTAGCCGCTTTGCTATCAGTTCTGACGGTTTGTGGGTTTGTATTGATATTCATGTATTTATGAAGCGATGTCCAGCTTTTGTGTGCATTGAATCCCATTTGCAAACATTGCAATGACGGTAAAGTCTGCAAATCGTTTCGATCGCTTCTATTGCTATAACTATTGTTATCCAATAGTTTATGACTCGATAGACACGGATTCTTGCCTTTAGTACACAGACCTGAAGCGAATTCCTCATAAGTAGAGCACTCGTATGCCATGAATGGACCTTTGGGTAGACATTGAAAACAAATTCCTTAAATTCTTGTTTTCGGAATATTGCAAATAAACAAATATTTTCAGCATTTTCTCTATTCTTTAAAATTAATAATAATCTGTTTTATGAAATACAATTAGTGTTGTGAAAAGAGATGTAGTTATCTATGAATAAGATGGCATACAATCAGTGTTTATGGATTCTGTGAATAGGAGGGCCGCCCGAGCGTGTGAGCACCCAATGAAACGACGAATTCCTGATTCAATCAATTAAAAGACAAATTATTGTGAAATTGTATCGAAATGCATGTGACTTAACCATGGATGACATTCCTCTCTTTGCCTATCGAGTCAAACACTGTCTTCAGAGGTGTTTCGTTACAACCCGGTTGTCGCCAACCTATCCGTACAGATGTTCATCAGTTATGTTCATTATATTCGTAACTCTGTCTAAACCTCCATTGGGGTAGAAGTCCACGTGTCCGCACCCCTGACTCATACCAAAACCACCCGTACTGTCATTCATTCAAATATATTAAACATTTAATATGTCTTATGTCTTATGTCTTACATAATACTGGAGGCGTCCGTATGGATGACATCCACAAAGAGTGCATCGTTTTTATCCAAACGAACTCTTGGGTCAGTGTTTTGGAAGTACGGTTCCGCCGGATCCAGACCTACCGTATAAATACATACATATCACACATTCAGTCACTTTTAATCCTGTCTATCAAACACTGAATTTATTAAAATTAAGATAGATTAAATTTCAATGTTTAATCTTATAAAGTATTAATTGTCATTTAATCAACACTCTATTTTACCATAAAAAATTCACTCCAATTAAAGTTTTAATTAATATTGTAATAGTCGTTTTTGTAGTGTTTTATTTAAACTTTTGAGTTTGCATTTTTTTAAACCAATATTCATTGACTGAATATTAAAACTTTAAAGTGCATTGGTTATTTGCATCATTGAAGGATCTTATATTTACAAGAATTACTAATTATTTTTTAAGTAATGCACTTGAACACAAACTGTGTATACTATGATAAAAGTAAGTTATTAGTTTTTAAAAATAATTCAAAAAGTATATTCTGTATGACAAATGGAGACCCGGGTGTCATCTGGTCATCTCTCACGGGAAGAAATGATTATTTACTTTATAAATGACTAAAACCCGGAATTGATATATTGATTGAATATAATTTAATGATATATTAGTAGAGAAAGTGATATTTGTGAGGAATTTATATGAAAAATATTTTGAGAAAATGTTTGTTTTGTGTGCGAATCGCATGTTTGATGTTTAGTTGAGTTTCTATTAGAGATTCATTAGAGATAATGAGCGTATAGTCGGAATAGTATTGTCTGAATTG